GTTGCCCTCCGCTGGACTCTTTCCAATTTTTCCACATCCTTCTTGTAGTGTGGGGCCCAAAACTGGATAAAGTACTCCAGATGAGGCCTCACCAATGTCGAATAGAGGGGAATGATTACGTCCCTTGATCTGCTGGCAATGCCCCTACGTATACATCCCAAAATGCCATTGGCCTTCTTGGCAACAAGGGCACACTGTTGACTCATATCCAGCTTCTCGTCCACTGTCACCCCTAGGTCCTTTTCTGCAGAACTGCTGCCTAGCCATTCGGTCCCGAGTCTGTAGCGGTGCATGGGATTCTTCCGTCCTAAGTGCAGGACTCTGCACTTGTCCTTGTTGAACCTCATCAGATTTCTTTTGGCCCAATCCTCCAGTTTGTCTAGGGCCCTCTGTATCCTATCCCTACCCTCCAGCGTACCTACCTCTCCTCCCAGTTTAGTGTCATATGCAAACTTGCTGAGGGTGCAATTCATACCATCCTCCAGATCCATTTATGAAGATATTGAACAAAACCGGCCTGAGGACTGACCCTTGGGGCACTCCACTTTGATATTGGCTGCCAACTAGACATAGAGCCATTGATCACAACCCGTTGAGCCCGACAATCTAGCCAACTTTCTATCCACCTTATAGTCCATTCATCCAGCCCATACTTCTTTAACTTGCTGGCAAGAATACTGTGGGAGACCGTGTCAAAAGCTTTGCTAAAGTCAAGGAGCAACACGTCCACTGCTTTCCCCTCATCCACAGAGCCAGTTATCTCGTCATAGAAGGCAATTAGATTAGACTTGCCCTTGGTGAATCCATGCTGACTGTTCCTGATCACTTTCCTCTTCTCTAAGTGCTTCAGAATTGATTCCTTGAGGACCTGCTCCATGATTTTTTCCAGGGACTGAGGTGAAGCTGATTGGCCTGTAGTTCCCTGGATCCTCCTTCTTCTCTTTTTTAAAGATGGGTACTACATTAGCCTTTTTCCAGTCATCCAGGACCTCCCCCTGATCGCCATGAGTTTTCAAAGATAATGGCCAATGGCTCTGCAATCACATCCGCCAACTCCTTTAGCACTCTCGGATGCAGCGCATCCGGCCCCATGGAATTGTGCTCATCCAGCTTTTCTAAATAGTCCCGAACCACTTCTTTCTCCACAGAGGGCTGGTCACCTCCTCCCCATGCTGTGCTGCCCAGTGCAGTAGTTTGGGAACTGACCTTGTTCGTGAAGACAGAGGCAAAAAAAGCATTGAGTACATTAGCTTTTTCCACATCCTCTGACACTAGGTTGCCTCCCTCATTCAGTAAGGGGCCCACACTTTTCTTGACTTTCTTCTTGTTGCTAACATACCTGAAGAAACCCTTCTTGTTACTCTTAACATCTCTTGCTAGCTGCAACTCCAGGTGGGATTTGGCCTTCCTGATTTCACTCCTGCATCCCCAAGCAATATTTGTATACTCTTCCCTGGTCATTTGTCCAATCTTCCACTTCTTGTAAGCTTCTTTTTTGTGTTCAAGATCAGCAAGGATTTCACTGTTAAGCCAAGCTGGTCGCCTGCCATATTTACTATTCTTTTTACACATCGGGATGGTTTGTCCCTGTAACCTCAATAAGGATTCTTTAAAATACAGCCAGCTCTCCTGGACTCCTTTCCCCCTCATGTTATTCTCCCAGGGGCTCCTGCCCATCAGTTCCCTGAGGGAGTCAAAGTCTGCTTTTCTGAAGTCGAGAGTGCGTATTCTGCTGCTCTCCTTTCTTCCCTGTCTCAGGATCCTGAACTCGACCTCGACCATCTCATGGTCACTGCCTCCCAGGTTCCCATCCACTTTTGCTTCCCCTACTAATTCTTCCTGGTTTGTGAGCAGCAGGTCAAGAAGAGCTCTGCCCCTAGTTGGTTCCTCCAGCACTTGCACCAGGAAATTGTCCTCTACGTTTTCCAAAAACTTCCTGTATTGTCTGTGCACCGCTGTATTGCTCTCCCAGCAGATATCAGGGTGATTGAAGACTCCCATGAGAACCAGGGCCTGCGATCTAGTAACTTCCATTAGTTGCTGGAAGAAAGCCTCGTCCACCTCATCCCCCGGTCTGGTGGTCTATAGCAGACTCCCACCACGACATCACCCTTGTTGCTCACACTTCTAAACTTAATCCAGAGACTCTCAGGTTTTTCTGCAGTTTCATACTTGACCTCTGAGCAGTCATACTGCTCCCTTACATACAATGCAACTTCCCCACCTTTTCTACTCTGCCTGTCCTTCCTGAACAGTTTATATCCATCCATGACAGTACTCCAGTCATGTGAGTTATCCCACCAAGTCTCTGTTATTCCAATCACATCATAATTCCTTGACTGTGCCAGGACTTCCAGTTCTCCCTGCTTGTTTCCCAGGCTTCTTACATTTGTGTATAGGCACTTGAGATAACTTGCTGATCGTCCCTCTTTCTCAGAATGAGGCAGGAGCCCTCCCCTCTCGCGAGCTCCTGCCTCATACTGAGAAAGAGGGGCGATCAGCGAGTTATCTACATGAATGTGTCATGTAGAGTAGTTATATATTTATTCCATTTCTCTTTCTGTATTATGCAGAGAAATGACATATGCACCTCCCCCAGGAGAGGCCTGTGCAATGCCCTTCTATTAAGCTACCCTTACTCTTCAAGAAAGCCTTCACTCACCATTCTGCCATTGTGGTTACCACCTGAGATAACATCTTTGCTAATACAGAGATTTGTTGTTATTATTGTGGTCAGGACAGTGGCAGTCAGAAGGTTAAGTCTGAACCATGGGGTGGAATGGTTCCATTTTACTAGATGTGAAAGCTGTGAGGCTGATCTGTAATAATTTAAGCATACTGTATGTGACCTGATTATGGTGTGTGTGTGTAACTATATTAAATTACTGGAACATTTACCATATGCATATGTTGATTTAGTTCCATAGCAGGGTGGTTAGGAAATTAGCAGGAAGGCAAGATAATATTTCTCGATAAGTAACCTCCCAGTAAACAAGGCAGGGGTCATTAAGGAGCAATACTTGAGCTGTTAGCTGGAAGCTCCTTCCAGTCACCAGTAAAGATACAAGGCTTATTTTGCCAAGGATGGGAACCAGAATATCAAAAGGCCACTAATTGGTTAAAAATCACCATCAAGAGAAAGGGAAAGGCAGTTGTCAGGGTCTGTTTGAAAGGAAGAGGCTTATACAGACACAGGCCCTATAGAAGGGGTCTGAAGCAGCTGGGCCTTTATAACCTTCCTGGGGACGGTAAACCTTAGTAAGATAGATGTGCACAGGCTGTTCTGTTTTTAAATCCTTTCTCGGATGCTGTGTTCCTGCTACTAAGTTCTTACCTTTAAGAATGCTATCTAGCCACTGTATTAACTGCTGGTCACATATCCCGAAAAGAAGACTTGCAGGTGCCAAGCCCAGTTGGACCTGTAGGGAAATCACAGTTGGTACATGGGAGGGGAAGAGGGTAGCCTGAGGCCTGGTCTAAGAGTTGGAGAATTGCAGGATTCCAGGGAAATAAAGGCTTGAGGCCTAAGACCTGAGGGGTGCACACAGAGAGACTTGAGAGGAGTCCAAGGTGCTTCTATACCTGTAACTGTGACACTAGGAATGGCCCCCACTGATTCAAAAAGCCGCCATCACTTTCACTGCTCCAGACATCTGCTGTAATAAATGTCCTTGTGTTACCTGTTACTGGTATCCAAGACATAAACATGATTGACTACCATTATGTTGCTATTGTATCTTTTTTGTTTCCCTGCTCATTCCCTGCTATGCCTAGACAAGACCCAAAGTTGTATGCTGTGTTAGCAGAGAAGGGGGCCTTGCAGAGTCCCTGTGAAAATCCTATTCCCTGGCCCCAGTGTCTCCAGTTGTGAAATAGTGAAGTGATTCCACTAAGTCATGTGGCATTAGTTTGCTCTGAAATCTTGGATGCATTTTCCATAAATAACAAGACAGTTTAGCAGCTCAGAAAAAAATCCAGGTGTCTAAATTTCTCCTTGTTCATTTACCTGATTGGAGAAGATCAGCAGAGTAATACACCTTATTCCTAAAAGAAGCATTTAAATCTAGAGGACCAAGTTTGCAAAGCAGCCTCAATTTAGCCTTTTAAAAATTGTGCTTCCAATTTTGTGTATGCCCCTGAAGTGAACTAGCCAATCAGATAATGTGAGGATATCTCTAGTTAGCTACCTAATATTCATCAAGCCCAAAATCTAGATATGGGGGACACACAAAATTGCATATACAGAGCCAAGTACAGAAAAACTGAAACTGTACTTGAAAACTGGTTTTGGAGTGTCACACGAGCCTTGCTCCAGGATTTTTCCTAATGGTTGTGTTTAGAATGTTTGCTTCTCAAAATTCAGAGTCCCTTTAACAAGCCAGCAACAAACAGGGTTTTTTTAGCCAATCCATTTGCTGAAATTCCAAAGTATCCGATATTTGTCTCAGTTCTCTTGCTTCAGAATAGACTCAGATTGCTAGCTGGAATGAAAAGCATTTTTCTTCTCCATGGTGAACAATGTTGTAGAAATAGCCAAATATATTATGGGACTCTTTTTTTCTTCTTCTTCTTCCAACTTCCTCTGAAACACTAGCTACTGGGACACTAAATCAATAGACACAGCTATTTTTAGAGCCCTGCACAGACACAAAATTTGTATCTGCATCTGATCCACGGATATAAAGTGGATATCCACCGATTTGCAGGGCTCTAGCTATTTTAATCTTTTTGTTGTGACTGGAGGAGGAGCTGTGTACAATTCAGTAACACTTGGGGGCAGGAAAAGGCCATGAAGCCTACCTACTTCTACCCACTTGGCCAATGTGCCTTGCTAGCAAGTTGGTGTAGGATACCCTGCATATAAAGTAATAACCCTTCTCCACTTACACAAGTGTTGACTAAGCTTTAGGCCTTAGGATGTTCTTTAAAGGCTCAGTGAGTTGTTCTAATGTGAAACAATTTATCTGCATCTCACAAAAGTGTCTCTTGTTCTCCCACAGGAAAAAAGGTCTATTTGTATTTCTTCCTCAAACACGATTTCAAGGGTGACAGCATCTCTCTGGCTAAGCTATAGTGATTCCAAAAGCCCCTCTAGACTGTGGAATACAGTTATTTAGTCTCACTCGCATTGTGGAGAAGTTCTCCATCCTGAGCTTCAGCAATGAATTTCCTCCGAAGGCGCCTCTCAGACAGTAGTTTTGTGGCCAACTTGCCCAATGGCTATATGATGGATCTTCAGCGTCCTGATAACTCCACTAGCTCTCCAGGTTCTCCAGCAACTGAGAGGAAGCAACAGCAGCAACCATCTCAGCCATCACCCTCTTCCTCTTCTGGAACCAATATCTTCAGTTCCATCTCCAGTGCCATGAAGCAGACCACACAAGCAGCTGCAGGACTCATGGAGCACTCGGCAAGCCCCACTCCTGTGGCTCAGAAACCCAAGATCCTTTTGGTGATTGACGATGCTCACACAGATTGGTAAGCACACACGTCTACTGGCTGCTTTAATGACAACAGTATTACTGGGGTGTAGGAGGCTGCGTGGCTTGGGAGATCAGCAATAGGATATAGAGAAATTTGTGTCTAAGTCACCTGTCCATGTCAGTGGTGACCAAAGTCTGGTTGTTCGGTGGCCTGCACAACATGAATGTGTCGGTTTCTTCAGTTCTCAGTGTCGTCAGATGTTCGGCTGCGTGTGTGTGTGTGTTCTCTCTGTGTGCTGTCCCAGCTCTGCGCAGACAGCTGGCACAGCAGACCTCGAGCGAACAGCCCAATGACCACAAGATCCATTAAGGTACGAAGGCACCCAGCCAGGTTCATTGGCAGTGAAGCACGGTCCTAGCTCCCTGGATCAATGTCTAGAGTTACACTACCACATGTGTGCCCATGACAGTGGACGCAGCTCAGTCAGTGGCAGGACTTTTCACTGACCCCTCGGATGGCCAAAGACACTCCCTCTGAGATACATCTTTATACACCAACAAGTTACATATTGCCTCTGACGTATCAGGGTGCCACCCTCTGACGTATTAGGGTGCCACCCATTGCCTCGTACATGTTGGTTTGATCAAAACATCTCTATCCATCATGCTGTCATCCTGACCTTATCTTTAGGATGGGTCAGTGTGTTCCTGTTATGTTTGGGGAATGTGCTGGTATCAAGGTGTTCTGGTACCACCTTTCTGGAATGTGTTTGCGTATATCTTCTTGTGCCTAGCACTACTTAGGAATGTGTGTTTCTGCAGTATTAGCCCTGTTCTTGCCAGATTCTGTGAGCAGGGCCTGCCTCTTGCTCACAACTTAACTTTGCTTTATATCAGCAAAGGTTTGGCTACGTTAGCCCAGGCCGGAGGCCTCATACCAAGCCTCTGATACATGGGCTTATGTTTCAGGCCCTCTTCCTACTGTATTCAGAGAAAAATGTCCTTTGGCACTAATTAGCAGACTTGTTGACAGTCTCAGAAGAGATGTCTGTGCTCAGCAGACTGAATTCCTCTTTCACCCCTAGACCTGGTCTCTGCAGGCACATTGTGTAAAGGTATAAAGGCACATTGTGGTGTGGTTTGGCAGGCATGCACAACACCATTGTGTTTGCTATACCTGTTCTATAAATAAAGAGAAGACCTCTGTCTCTAGGGCTGCCAATCCAGTGCCTTTCACAACATCTACATTCACCAAAAAGTAATTAAAATAGTAAAAACAGACAGACTACTACAAGTGATAATCCCCTCCCTTGCTAATCGTGATAGCAAACAGCAAAACGTTCAGAGGTTTAGCTAAGCCTCCAAAGGATATGCTTATGCAAACATGGTTTGCTGGAAATGTTATTAGAAAGGGCTTTTTTTGTGAGATTTGCCAAGACAGAACACTTTTTCCAGAAGTCTTGGAAGACACCTGAATCCTTCCGAAATTCAGGGGAGCTGGCCTATTTGATTGGAGGACATCTCCTTGAAAGTTGGCTGATCTGCAAAGCCTGCCAGCATCCATTTTTACTGTTCTGTCCTATAAAGGTTTTTAGACCACACACATCACCATAATATCTGAGCACCATTCAGTAGTACATTAAGCTGTGTGACTACACATTTGTCCCAAGGCCCTGAGAAGCTGTGTTTTTATCACCTCCATCGCTCTCTCAGTGCCTGTCTGCCTTGGGCAAGCTGGCCAGGAGATCCAGAGGGAGGAAACCCAGAGTGTGGCCTGCTTCTTGGTACTAGCCTTCAGGAAGTCATCAAACATCTGCCACTGCCAGTCGGCCTCGGCAGCTGCCAGGGAGCTCTTCACTGCCCTCTGGTTTTGGAGACTCCCTTACAGGAGAAGAGAATATAATAACCCTGGGGAACACGTGAGTATTTGGGTTACCCAGATTTTGGTTATATGGGATTGTGTTGTACTTGCTCACTTCAGCCTCATCAGGAAAGTTGTAAATGGCCTTTCCTGCAATATTTAATTATCTCCCCACTACCTCCCACCCTTTATTTCCCAGCTGAAACCTGGAAGTGATGGTCAAAGATTAAATTGCTTTTGCTTTCTTGTTCTTCATCCTCCTCAGTGTCCAGCCTATCCCTGGGCACTGCAAGGGCCATTGCTGAGGGAATGGTTCCACTCTGTCAGACCAGCAACTCCAAACTCTTTTCAGAACTGGAGCTAGGTAAATAAGAACATTATCTGAGAAAGAAAGAGGGATAAAGGGGTTCTCCAACTAACCCAGGCAATCACTTCAGCAAGATAAAACAGAAGAAGTGGTTGTATATTTCCAACAATGGTGGAAATTTTAAATGCCAGCGATAAAGATTGCACAAAATTCCTTCAAGATCATTTTACATTCAACTCCAGTTAAAGAAATATCTCATTACCTACGTTCCATCTAAATGGCCTCAGATAAAGAGCTTACCTCTAAAACAGGGATGGGCAAACCTTTTGGCCTGAGGGCCACATCTGTGTGTGAAAATTGTGTGAATGTTCATGAATGCTCATGACATTGGGGGTTGGGGTGCGGCAGGGGGTGAAGGCTCCGGCTGGGGGTGTGGCTGAGGGTGAGGGGTTTGAGGTGCAGGAGGGTGCTCCGCACTGGGACTGAGGGGTTTGGAGGGTAGGAGGGGGATCAGGGCTGGAGCAGGGGGTTGGGGAATAGGAGAAGGTCGGGGTGCAGGCTCCAGATGGCGCTTACCTCAAGTAGCTCCCAGAAGCAGCGGCATGTCCCCTTCTCCAGCTCCTACACAAAGGCGTGGCCAGAGGGCTCTGCGTGCTGCCCCATCCGCAGGAACCACCCTTGCAGCTCCCATTGGCCACAGTTCCTGGCCAATGGGAGCTGAAGAGCTGGTGCTTGAGATGGGGGCAGCATGCAGTGCAGAGCCCCCTGGCAGTCCCTCTGCATAGGGACTGGAGGGAGGACATGCCGCTGCTTCCGGGAGCCACACTGAACCATAGCACGTGCGGAGCGAGGCAAGCCCCTAACCCTGCTTCTGGGTGGGAGCTTGAGGGCCGGATTAAAAGGTCTGATGGGCCAGACGCAACCCACGGGCCGTAGTTTGCCCACCCATGTTCTAAAACTAGGTTTCTCTAACAGCAAAACTGTCTTTGAGTGAAATGTGTCTTTGCTCCCTAGAACCTGTCAGATTTCAATTGTGTCATATTTCATCGACAGGTGACCATTTCAAGATTTTCCCTTAAAGCCCTGTCAAAATAAATATTGTTTGCAGTATTGTTGTAACCATGTTGGTCCAAGGATCTTAGAGAGACAAGGTGACTGAGCTAATAGCTTTTATTGGACCAAACTTCTATTCATGAGGGAAACGAGCTTTTGAATTTACACAGATTTGGGGACCTGAAGAAGAGCTTTTGTGTAAGCTCAAAAGCATCTCTCTTTCACCAACAAAATATAGATTAGCTGTTCCTTGAGTCATCCTCTGGTTAAAAGTTAGAGAACTACATTCAGGTTACAATTCCCTTTTTTCCTGTTACAAAATACATAATGATTTTGATTTAAAATGCCCTCCTTGTGAGAGGAGATCTCCCTTACTTTAATTGGTCTTTTCCTCATCTATACCATCCTTGAAAGCGGAGAGGAAAACTTGCCTAGTGGCTAAAGAACACATCTGGGAGCTGAGGCACATTGGCTTACATTCTTGGCTCTGCCACAAACTTGTTGTTTTAACTCACCCAAGGTACGTTACTTACCTTCACTGTGCCTCATTTTCCTTATCTGTAAAATGCGAATAAAAATACTGAGCTGGCTGGAGCAGAGCATGTTGCCGCTGGGCTGATGGGGAGGAGGAGGCATCTGTGGCTAAGTCTCCTTTCAGTTTCTCAGATCCTGGAGCTACCTGCAGGCTGAATCTATCTAAGGATTCTGCTAACTTGTAAGGACACTGTGGTCCAGCCCTGCTTCCCATTGTGCACCTTCGCCACCAAAAGAAGCAGGTAGTGAGGAGGCTGCTCTGGCCCCATTTCTGCCACATCCTCTGTGCTGGGTTGTTTGAGGAAGCAGGTGCCATGAAACCAATCACACTGACTTTCCCCCTGTGTCGTGGGAATCCCTAGCTGCCCCTCAGGGGCAGCTTTCTGGCTGCTTTGTGACGCTCGGGAAATACCTACAACAACCTTTTTTATTTTAGGTATATCTGTAGACCCCATTACCCTTGTATGGGAGACCCACGACAGCCCTCTGAGATGGAGCAGGACTATCATCCCCATTATGCAGAGAGACTGTGACTTGCCCAAGGTCACTCAGGAAATCTGAAGCAAAGCCCAGGTCTGCTGAGTCCTAGAGTAGCACCCTAACCACAGGACCATTCCTGAAGGGCTCAAATGCTGGCCTTACCTCTGGTCCCCTTGTTATAAATGTAAACCAAGATCTTGGGTGTAATGGCCTTCAGTAGTCTCCACTTATTTCCCAGCAGACATGAGTGCATTACAGACCCATCATTAATAGCATGGCTTGTTTCTGCCTCAAAAGAGGGGATTCGTTACAAAGCAAGGACTGCCCTCCTCTCCCTTACTCTATCCTCCCCTTCCCAGGGTAATGGGCTTGGAGTTTGCATCAAGGTGGAGGTGTAGCAACTGAGGCCAGTAACTAATACAGGATCCTTCATCCAACCTGAAACGAGAGTGAAAATGAGTGGAATTTTCCCCATGAAAACTGGCCTTTTAACATAGTAGGAAAGTCTCTGGTAGGATGGCAATTGCATCTAGTGTTTGTGCGAATCTAGCAAAACTAGGGCTTTGCTGGCTACCATTTCTATAAGAGGTGATTCTCCCCGCACACACACACACACACTTGGCACTGCTGCCTTCTGTTTTAGCTGGTATTTTCTTACTTATTTACTACCTTGATGCACCTGCTGGTTTTTCTCAAGTGTAACAATAAACTCAATAGCTGAGTCACTGGCTTGTGCTAAACTTCCCTGCAGTATAAAGGAGACACCACCAGGGGGTAGTCCATTACCACAGCATCCATCTAGCTCTCTGTTGGACCCGTT